CCCTTCGCGCGGAGTTCAACAGTTTACAAAAGGAAGCCGGCAGCAGGACTGTAACATGGGAGACTGGAAACTGGAACTGGAGCAGGGAGCAGCAAGCCTAATCCGCGGAACCTGGTGGCCCCACGAGGGGGCCGGCGGATTGCAGCGGCGTGGACCCTGCGGTCGGAGTCATGAGACAATGTGCGTCTGAAATTTAGAGCGAATTCGTTTCAGTCGACATCTGGTTTTCTTCTGCCTCTCTCCTCTCTCCTCTCTCTTCCGCTTTCTCGTCCTCCTCCTCCTCCTCCTCCTCCTCCTCCTAGTCCTCCTCCTCCTCGTCCTCCTCCTCCTCCGTCCTCCCCCCTCCCGCCGATTTTGGCCGCTGCCAGGTGGACGCCAGCGTGTCGCAGGAATCTTTGGTGGGTGCGCCGCTGCGGTTGAAATCCTGCGACGGTCGCAGGACAGGCCCCCTGGCAGAGTTCGGCTGGTCGCAGGAGCTTGCGCTGGGCGCTGGGCATTCTCCTCCTCTCTCCTCGTCCCCTCGTCCGCTCCCTCCCCTCCTCCCTCCCTCCCCCCTGACCCCTGACGTGCCCGGCGCGTGCCAGAGCATGGCCAGCGAGAGCAGCCGTGGGAAGTCCTGCAGATGGCACCGGTGCACTCCGGCCGAGGCCCCGAGCCATGCAGTCAACCCGCATAGCAAGGATCGGCAACCTTCCCGAGGGTACCCTTCTGCTTCTGCTTCTGCTGCTCCTGCTGCTTCTCCTCCTCCTCCTCCTCCTCCTCCTCCTCCTCCTCCTCCTCTCTCGTCCTCCTCCTCTCCTCCCCCTCCTCCTCCTCATCCTCCTCCTCCCTCTCCTCCTCCTCCTCCTCCTCCTCCTCCTCCTCCTCCTCCTCCTCCTCCTCCTCCTCCTCCTCCTCCTCCTCCCCCCGTGCCGCCACCCCACGGATACGAGGCGTTTCTCCGCGGTCCTTGCCTCCTTGCCTCCTCGGTCCATCCCGGGCGGGCCGCGCCCCGCTCGAAGAGCTTCGAAGTGGGCGCCCAAGGCCCTTGCATCCAGATCGCGCATCCTCACGATGCGGGCCGAGGCTGTAGATGGGTCTGTTCGTTGATAATGTTATGGTGCCCACTTTCCTGCTCCCCCCTCGGAAAAGCTACCGTCGCTTCGCATGCAACGGTCGGCAAGCCGCGCACCGAAGGCCGCTCTTGTCTGGGGTCCTTCTTGCGCGAAGCCTATGCTAGGTTCACTCGCGGTGGCTTCGGATGGTTTCTGGAGATTCCCGGAAGCTTTTCGGCCCGCCGAAAACGACCAGAGACCTCCAAACACTTCGATCCTCAATCCCCCTCCACCCCATCCCTAATCCCCCCTTGCCAGAGAGGGGGGGAAGCAGCTGGCCTCGGCTTCGCTTCCAGGCATCTCCTTCGATACGTGGGACTCGCCAGCCTCTATCCCCCCCTTTTCGTTTCGCCTTGAGAGAGCTGGGGGGCGGGCGCAGGGTGGTCTGCACCATCGAGCAGTTCTCCCAGTCGGCGTGCTGCGGGTGCCAGAAGCAGGCGGGGGGCCAGGGGTGAGAGGGAGGGCGCGGGCGCGAGCAGGGGAGCAGATGGGTGACGGCGGAGGGGTAGGGCAAGGAGGACTGAGGTGCCCAGATGATTATCATCAGAAAGGGTGCGTTGGGAGGACATCAGGAGGGGGACGGGGGGGTGCACCCCGTCTCCTCAAAAAAAAGTCCAGGTGGAGGAAGGGGTTCGAATCGCCTTTTTCCCCCCTCCAGAGTGAAAGTTGGGGTGGGAGGGAGGGAGTTCGACTGAGCCAGCTAAATCAGCGTTTCAAACAACCGGAGCGCAACGCGAAACATGCGAATAGCACACAAGAGGGAAGCGTAGAAAAATCCAAAAGCGTAGAACGTGAAAGAAAGCATCAATCAGTGCCAATTCAGTTGAAGAAAGTTTGTAGTAGGGAGAATACGAAAAAGCGCGAACAGCAAAAACGTATGAATTCATAGTATCTAGACAGGTCGAAAAAATCACCCTAAACAAGAAGCGCAGATAAACGGTAAGTAGAGGAGCGCGACAAGTACGACACGGACACGTAAACAAGTAGAAACCTAGGAACGCGAGAAACGTGGGAAACGTAGAGACTTTGATGGCGGAACATGAAAGCGACACATTGACGAACGCGGCAAGCACGACAAGCAGGACAGGCAAACATTGAGTTGTTCTCTGGGTCTGCCGCCATGCTCTCTGCATTTCCAGCCGCCATGGTCCGCAGGTCCGTGCAGTGTGCGGATCTGATCCCGCGGACAAGCTGGAGAGCCAAGCGGCTCGGCAAGCGGCGACGCGCCCGCCTGGCAAATTTGACACGTCAAGTTCGTGTTTTTGTGAAGCCGCCGCAATCACCCCCTACAGCGACGCAGGGCTGGCGTCATCCAGCACCTCTGGCGTGCAATGGCGTGCCTGCGACCAAACCCTTCTCTGGACCGCGCCGCAGTCAACAGATGACAGCGCTGATTGTGCAGCGCGCGCCTCCGACGCGGCGCAGCTGGATCAACCGAGGCGCACGCACGGTCCACGAATGAACACATTTTGCCTACCCACGGTTGGCACGAATATTTTGCAAACTGGCGCATGGCCACTCACTTTTTCGCTCTCTATGTTTATCAGCAACGTCCACTGCGCGGCCCTCGGACCCTCACTCTCCTCCTCTCCGCCTCCTCCCTGTGAGTCGGGAGGAGAAGGACGAGGACCAGCGGCAGCAGCAAGAGGAGCAGGAGGCGGAGGAGGTGTAGCAGCGTAGCAGCAGGAGGAGGTACCGCTCGCGAGGTGGCCAGCCTGTTCCGCCTGAGACATCTGCGCAACTCTGGGCTCTGACATGCCATGACCCGAGGTGGTCCAGCCCGCTTCGCCTGAGACATCCACGCATCTCTAGGCCCAGGGATGCCTTGACCTGAGGTGGTCTGGCCCGTTTCGCCTGAGAAGTCCTCGCAACTCTAGGCTCAGAGATGGCTGTGGCCTCCCTGGAGCCTGGGGCCTCCCAGGTGGCCTGGGCTGGAGGGCTCAAGGACATCGAAAGAGGTTAACAAGAACATCGAAGTGTGGATTCGGCGCGTGCAGATCAGATTCCCCCACGGATGCCCCACCCTAGATATGTGGATTCTGCGCGCGTGCACCCGACGACCCCAGGACCATCTGCGGACAACATGGGTGTCCGCAGATCGTCCTGCAGGTGCGCCCCTTGTCCGCAGACGGTGTGCGCACAGGACACGCAATCTGTCCGCACTTGACAGTACAATCTGTGGATATGGTCAATGTGCACGCGAGTTGCTCGACAACCCGATGGTGCCCCGACCTCGGTGCCTAGTTTGGGGAGGGGGGGCCCAGTGGGGATCCTGTGTCTGCACATGGCAGTGCAATATGTGGACGATTGCCTCGGACACGAAGGGCAAAGCACAGCACCGCGCGGCGGCACTGGGAACACGAGGGAAGATGAGGAGGGAGGGCAAGAGGATGAGACATGAGGGATTTCAGAGGGCCTTAAGAGGGCTCCAAGAGGGCTCCAGAAACGCCCCACGAACTTCGAATCGATGTGGGGCAACGCGGCCGCATTTCCCCACATCTTTGGGGCCCTCCTGGGACCCTCTGGGGGGCCCTCTTGTGTCCCTACTGGGGCCCTTCTTGGAGCCCAGCCGACAGCCAGTGAGCGCGAGGGCGCGGGTGAGCAGCGTGTCGTGCATGACGAAGCCGACGCGACGTCGGACGGGCGTCCAAATCTTTCTCATTGCCATACTCCTCCTTATTATCACCTCCACTTCCCTCCTCGTGTTTGTCCTCCTCGGTGCGCCAAAAGAGTCCAAAGCAGCTCAAGAGGGCCTCGAGACGACCCGGGACGTTTTTCAGACGCCCTCTTTCCCTCCTTCCCCCATCATCCCTCATTGTGGCCCTGCCCATGGGGCCCTTCGAACTGAGGGATACCGCCCCACAGAGGGACGAACCATGATGCCATGCAATGAGTCGTTGTTTTTGTAAGACGACCGTTGTTGGCGTCCTTCTGTTAGGCAATGTTTCAGTGCACGCACCATGGCAATCGTCCTCCATCCGTGTACTTGTTAACACATGTCAGACGAATGTGTGTGTCTCTCAGGCGAGGGCCCCATGTTGAAAAAGACTTGCCCTCCATACTGGTAGATTTCGCAAACCTTCGGAACAAGTGTGTGTGTGTGCCGCTAAGTCGAGAGCCGCATTTGAAAACGAGCCGGCCTCCATCCTTGAAGCTGTTGCATTTGTGTGAACCGAATGTGCGTGTCGCTGAGGCGGGAGCCGCATTTTGAAAGCTACCCGCGATTCATCCTTGAAGCTGTTTTCGCAGGCCTAGAGTTTGACACCAACACCGAGATCGGCGGTGTGCCTCCACCGAGGGAAGACGGCCCCGATCTCGGTGATGGTGGTAATATGCTGGCTGCCGAGGCGACCGAACTATTACCACCAACACCGAAATCGAGGATAATCTTCCCCATGTGGAGGCAACCCCCTGTGCTGGTGTTGGTGCCAATTTCCAGGCCTCCAATACTTGTAACTTGAAGGAAGAGTGAGCGCGGCGCTCAGGCGAGAGCCGAATTTCGAAAACGGCTGACCCTCCATCCTTGCAGTTGTTGGAGCTGTTCAGCTTCAGCTTCAGCTTCAGCTTCAGGATAGCAAGGCGCTGGTAAGTCTCAAGCGAAGCGCCTGGCCCCGCTTGCGGGCAGGTCTGGTGATGTCGGGTGGTGCGACAGCGCGGGGCTGTTTATCAAGATGAGGGATGGAGGAGGACGAGGAGGACGAGGAGGAGGAGGAGGAGGAGGAGGAGGAGGAGGAGGAGGAGGAGGAGGCACCCGTGCCTCCTCCCGCAGGCTCGGGGATGGACAAGGAGGAGAGGGAGGAGGCGGCGGAGGAGGAGAGGAAGGCCAGAGGGGGGAGGAGGGAGGGAGAATGGGCAGGAGAATAGGTGGGCTCCCCTTCCCTTTTCCCCGCCCCCTTCCCCCCTCAGGTGCGCACGAGGGGGGCCGGCGCCTCGGGCCCCAGCCTCGACACGGCGTACAGGCACCTGTTCTCCGTGCGGCCGCTGGGCACCCAGGCCCGGCGCTCCCCGCGTCGCGTCGCGGCGTGGTCATCGGAACTTGTTGTCACCGTGGTCGTCGTCGTCGCCGCCGCCGCCGCCGCCGCCGCCGTCGTCGTCGTCGTCGTCGTCGTCGTCGTCGGAGGAGGAGGAGGAGGAGGAGGAAAGGGGAGGACGGACGGACTTTGTTCTTCCAGGAGCTGCAGGATTCCGCGGGCTCAGAGCGGGGGGGCGTCATTGCATGGCCCCAGAAGCTCACACCACGTCTCATCCAGCCCGCTCGGGCCAGGACGAGGAGCCTTCCATGCAGCCCGCGACAGGGGAGAGGCAGGAGGAGGGGGAGGAAGAGGAGGAGGAGGATAATGAAGAAAGGAGGAGGAGGGACCAGTGTAAACCCAAGACCCATTAACGACATTGCAAGAAACCCTCTCCAAGTTCCTTCTTCACAGGCCCCTACAAGGGTTCATTTTCACTGAGGTAAGTGTCCCGTTGGAACACAACCGTTGAAAAGTCTTGAGCTGCGCCACAGTACCATTCCTGGGACTGCAACAGAGCGAATCAAGGTAAGCGTTGCGTCCTGACAGTCCGACATCGTACCATTACACAAACACTGAAACGTTAGACACGAGACTCCCTGAAACTGCTCAAACTCTTCAAACGAGTGTGCGCGGCGCTAAGGCGAGAGCCACATGTTGAAAAGGAGTCGCCCTGCATCCGTGAAGCTTTCGCAATTGCTCAAAACGACTGCGAGCGGCGCTGAAACGAGAGCCACATTTTGAAAAGGAAATTCTCTCCATCCGTGAAATTATTGCAACCAGTTTAAGACGAGTGTGCGCGGCGCTAAGGTGGGAGTCACATGTTGACAACGACCCGCCCTCCATCCGTGAAGCTCTTGTATTGTTTAAGACGAGTGTGCGCGTCGCTCAGGCGAGAGCTGCGTTTTTGAAAACAGCCCGCCCTCTAGCCGCGAAGCTCTTGCAAATGTCTACGACGACTCTGCGCGGCGCTAAGGCGATATCCACACTTTGAAAACAACCCGCCCTTCATCCGTGAAGCTCATGCAACTTTTCAGGAGACCATTTCTTTATTGCGTGGGGCATGGCGGGCGTCATGGCCCCCGTCCCCCCCCCTATGACGTAACGCTCCCCCCCCCAGTGCGCTCCGGGCACTGCCGCCGTGCGTATTGGGATCCGCGTAGGTGTCCGCGTTAGAATCCGCATAGGAGTCTGGTCCGCAGTCGTCGACGTCGTCGTCGTCGTGGACGTCGCTCGTGGCTCGTGGCTCGTCGCTCGTCGCTCATCGTCGTCGTGCGCGCGGACGCGGCTGGAGCTTTTTTTATGAAAAAATCCGGGCCGATGACGGCAATCATCTGGGCCGGTGGAGGGGGTCGATGACGTCACGCTTCGCGCCGGCGGCGCCTGGGAATGCCTAGGAATGACGGAGGACGGGTGGCACCAGCATGTAGGTGGCGATTTGCACCACAACGCTTGTGTATACCTCAGTGCCTGCATGCACCACAGCGCCTGTGTACACCACACCGCCTATGTACACCACAGCGGCCGCGTGCAACACAGCGTCAGTTTGTGCCACCGCGCGCGCGGGCGCAACAGATCTTGTGTACACCACAGCGCGCCTGCGTACACCACATCAGCCGTGTGCAGCACAGCAGTGTACACCACATTGCCTGCGTGCATTGCAGTGCCTATGTGCACCACGGCGCTTGTGTGCACCACAGCAACCGTGTGCAACACAACACCACTGTTGTACGTAGAATGTTAGAAGAATCAGTATGGCAAAATGGAGCGTTTGTGGATTCCACCGAAAACACCCAAACATAATCCTTAAGGACAAGGGAGCGCCAGGGGAATCTGCGAGTCCTTCCGCGTTCGCCCGCATCACCGTAACCCCTCCCATCTGCGTCCAGGAGGCTCCAGCTAGATTGGCCGTCCGAGAACCAAGTGGGCCGATTCAATACACCATTCTGCGGTGCACGCTGAGTTGCGCACGTGCGCTGTAGCGCCAACCCGCAGGAGGAGGAGGAGGAGGAGGAGGAAGAGAAAGAGGAGGAGGAGGAGGAGGAGGAGGAGGAGGAGGAGGAGGAGGAGGAGGAGGAGGAGGAGGAGGAGGTGGAGGTGGAAGTGGAGGAGAAGGGACGAGGGAAAAATGTCGCATTCGATTATCAGCACTTTCCTGGCGTGGCGCTTCCGCAGTAGATCCTCACGTGCAGGCTCCTTCTACCTGTCCTATGCACGCAGGCGCTGTGGTGTACAATAGCGCTGCGTTGCACGCGGATGCTGTGGTGTAGACAGGCGCTGTGGCGTGCACAGGCGCCGCGGTGCACGCAACTATTGTGGTGTACACAGGCGCTGTGTTGCACATGGTTGCCTCGGTGTGCACATGTACACCGGCGCTGTAGTGTACGCAAGCACTGCAGTGTACACAGGCGCTGCGTTGCACACGGTTGTTGCGATGTACGCAGGCGCTGTGGTGTACACGCGCGCTGTGGTGCACACGCGAGCGTTGTGGTGTACACAGGCGCAGGGGGGCAGATCGCCACCTACATGTTGCTCGCGTCGTCGTCGTCGTCGTCGTCGTCGTCGTCGTCGTCGCTTGTCGCTCGTCGCGTCGTGCGCGCGGGCGCGGCTGTGGTGCCGGAGCCACACGGCGGGGGGGGGGGGGGGGGCGTTACGTCATACCCCCCACCGCCCCCCCCGGGCCCCCCCCCCATGACGCCCGTCATCGCCGAACATAAAGAAACGCTCTCCAGCTGGAGGGCCAGAGAAAGTCTCAGGCGAAACGCCTGGCCCGCCCTTCGACACGCTTCGGGGCGCGACAGGGGGGAATTATTTATCAGGAAAGGAATAATGGAGAAAGGAGATGAAACGAGGAGGGAGGAGGGAGGGAGGAGGAAGACGGAGGAGGGAGGAGGAGGAACGAGGAGGAATGGAGGGAGGAGGGAGGAGGGACGTATGCCCCCAGACCCTTGTGGACAGCCGGGGAACCTCCCCCATGTGTGCCCCCATACACAAGCATTCCGAGGTCCGCGCGGGTTTCTTGGATCGGCGCTGGGGGCCCCTGGCGCTTCCTCCGGCGCCGCCCCTGGCGCGCTGCGCGCGCCCGGGAGGGGGGCCCAGCGCCCATCCAAGAATTCCGTGCGGACCTCTGAAAGCTTGTGGTGTTTTGCATGTGTTGTTGTCCTCCCTTCCACCCCAGGACGCGAGCAGCTAAGCTGTGTTCTGACGATTTCGTGGGCCGCTTTCGTTTCGATTCCCTGCTGCAGCGAGGGCGGGACGAAGACGGAACGAGGGAGAACGAAAACACAACGAATATGGAAAGCACCGTCTAGCTCGCGCCCTGCCCCTCATCCTCTCCGTGTACCGCGCGCCCTGCGCGGCAGGCCTCCCCGGAGGCCGCGCGGGCGACGCAGCAGGGCGCGCGGCTGCTGCACGAGAGCCGCTTCGACGAGGCCGCTGGGCCAGCGGCGCGCCGCTCGTGCCTACCTGCCCGCCACCGGCCGGGCACCGCTGCGACGAGCGGGCCTACCAAACATATCCCTCCGCCTCCTCCTCCTCCTCCTCCTCCTCCCTCCTCCCTCCTCCTCCTCCTCCTCCTCTCCTCCTCCTCCTCCTCCTCCTCCCTCCCTCCCTCCCTCCCCCTCCTCCCTCCCCCCTCCCTCCCTCCCTCCCTCCCTCCTCTCCCCTCCCTCCCTCCTCCCTCCCTCCCTCCCTCCTATAGTCAAAGCGCATAGTAAGGATACGCTGCTTCATCAAGGCTCCTCTTGCATCCCTGCTTATTCGGTGGCCCATCCTGTTGACGTCCAGGGAGCTACACATTGCAAATGTGACTCCCAAGGGTCTCGCTTCCTTACCCTGCACTCTTACTCCAGATTATGTCTGTACCTCCTCCCTCCTTCACCGCGTCCTGCTTATGCCTCCTCTACCGCTCCCTTCCCCCCCCCCCCTCTTCGTGGTCAGACGCCTCGAGGACCGGTGCGGCGAGGGGTATGCTCGTCCTGGGTGGCTGGGCCTTCCCCTGTCTTCTTCAGACGTGATGCGCCCGAGGTGCGTGGCCTCATGGGTGCACAAAATCCCGCCCTTCAGCGCTGGGAAGCGTGCGCGCACACGCATGCGTACACGCATGCGCGCACGCTCATGATCATGCGCATGCGCAAACGCACAACGCACAGCGCACATGCGCACGCGCATGCACGCTGTCTCCTACCCCGGCAGGGAGACGGTGCCACTGCGAATGCAAACCTGGGCCCACGCTCGAGAATACCAGCCTGCACCAGGCGCTGCAGGTGGTGGGCTGCGCCAGTCGAGCTTATGCCAGCAACCGCCCAGCTAAGTGGTGGGCGTTGGGCCAAACATTCAGGGAAGGGAAGTGCTTAGACCTGAAACCCGGCGGCGCGTGAAAAGAGCAGGTGCGACTGGATCCCGAGGGGGAGGCAGACAGACAGACAGACAGACAGACAGACAGAGGCATACAGAGACAGAGACAGAGACAGAGACAGAGACAGAGACAGAGACAGACAGACAGACAGACAGACAGACACACACACACACACACATACACGCACACACACACACATTTTGCGTCGGCGGCTAGGCAGAGTAACTGCGCTGGCGGAAGAGCTGACTAGACGGGGGCACCGTTGTTGCACACACACACACACACACACACTTTCTGGTCACACGCAGCCGCGGCGGAAGCCGGGCTGAGGGGGGCTGCCAAGGATCGACCGTGGGAAGCTGGCAAGTGCAAGCGGGGGAAGCGCGGGCCCCTCACGGGGCAGTGGCGGGGGGCGGCGGGCAGCGGGCAGCGGCTGGCTGGGAGCGGCGGGCGGCGGCATCGCCGGCGGGCGGGCCTGCAGAGGCACGTCCCAGGGACGTGTGCGGGGGCGGACGGCGCCAGGGCACCGAGGAGCAGCA